TTTCTAAATTTTACATGTTCCTCTTTACTTCATGAAAACATACATTCTGCATAAGAATCTGTGGTTTATTTATTGCAAATACATTTGATATAGTGTGTTAAATTAATAATACATTGTATAATATAATTTAACACATACATATACATTTTTCATTTACCAGATGAACTACACACAACTCCAGAACGAGATCATTCAGTATGTATTAAACGTAACAATGAAGCTACATAACAAATAAATAGACATTTACAAATATATGAGATAATAAATGTAATTTACTTCTATTCCTAGTCACCGACAGAAATCGTACCTGGCGAAAGTAATCAGGTGAATGCAGTTGCAATTCCTGGACCCAGAGTATGTATAATAACGAGAAGACGGTGTAACATTTTAATTTTCAACCATTTTATATTACATTTTTAACAGTACTAATATCAACTGCATTGTACAAAAAAAAAAAAAAGAAAAATTGATGAAGAAATAAACGTAGCAATAATACTGTAATAAGACTTTTCATTCCGTATTATAAATTAGGGCGAACAAGGTCGGCCCGGAGACAGTGGCCGTCCAGGTGATGCGGGATTTCCAGGACAACCAGGAACTCCAGGGATTCCCGGACCTCCGGGACCACCAGGTCCTGTGCCTGATGCAAGTATTCGTTAACATTTAACTTCTATTTATATTTTATTACACGATTCAAATTATCAGTGGATATAGGGTTTAGTGTGAGGGAATAAAATTCATCAAATGTTATAAAATGTACAGGATGGGGCGCCTAATTATCTTCTCTACTGTCCGTTCAAAATAAGAGTAACCTCGCTTCGCGCATGGAACGTGTCTAAGGCAGGGCTAGAACCACTAGAACGTCCAAACCCCCATTTAACCGCCTACGCTTTTCTCCGTCTTACCCTCTGCTACGCTCTCTGTCTATGCGCAGAACGGACGAGAATCGGTCCGAGAGCGAGGTTATTCTTATTTTGAACGAAGTGTAGCTAAGGTGGTACGAAAAAATTTGTTTATAATGTAGCAATGAATTAATATTAACAGGTATCGATGTATTATCAACAATTGGCTTTATCGCAAGCAAATCAAGATAAGGGGCCAACAGGAGCAGCAGCACCTTTGTATGGTCCAGATGCATATTTACAAACACAAGTAGGTCCTGTTGGCCCACGTGGTGCACCAGGTAATATTTCCTGACTTATCAGTTATTTTTATTCTTACTATTGACTGTTACACGGCTTATTGCACATTTTACCATTTACAATAGGTCCACCTGGTCCGCCTGGACCACAGGGATTTCAAGGAGTACGAGGAGAGCCTGGAGAACCTGGATCTCCCGGTCCTCCAGGTTTATCAGGTCCACGAGGATTACCTGGTTTATCTGGGAAAGATGTAAGTAACAATTTAATCCTCTTTAAGTAATCCTCGTAATTATAGTCAAGTATTTATTAACAATTGAACGAAATATAACTCGTACTAATTAATTATTGACGCGTCAATTTTTATGCAATGCATCATATAACATTTTTGCTTGAAATAATCTAACTATTTAAGTAGCTTGAGGTCACATACTTTTATATACACAGAATCGATACAGAAATATGCTAAAAGTGTTTTAGAGTTTACTTATTTCAAAAAAAGTATCAACTTAAAATTGCAGAAATTAGCTAATAATCGAAAATGGTAGAATTTGCCGCTGCAATACTAGACACTGAACTTATCAAATCCAGAACCAGAAAATTGCAGTCAATCTGCGCTTGTTCTATACCCAGCGAATTAAACGCTGTTGCTAATACCTCTATATAGTTCATATTTAGTAATCTTGTTAGTTAATGTATTCAATTAATTTAAACCTTTTACTTGATTCGCGTGAATGTCATAGCACATTATTTTACTATGAGATTTTCTCAGTTCTCATTATTTATTAGTAACATTATTTACATTTCTTCACACAAAGACGGTTTAAAGTAGCATATTTCGCACGAAAAAATGTATACTGTTTATAGGGTAACACTGGTGAAGATGGAGAACCCGGTCCTCCAGGATCAGTTGGACCAGTTGGTCCAAGGTTTTCCAGGTTTAGATGGAGCGAAAGGAGAACAAGGTGTATTTGGTGAAAAAGGATCCATGGGTGGTCCTGGTCCAATGGGCCACGTGGGTCCCATGGTAAATATTAAATATTAATATTAACATAAACTACACAAAATTTCATAAATCTTACTGTTGTTCTTTAATTATTCTGAAACAGGTAATTGATCAAAAATTGATTTATTATCTAGGGTCCTGCAGGTCCACGTGGTGAAAGAGGCAGGGAGGGCCCATCAGGACCTCCAGGAATTAGAGGAGTGGATGGAATATCAGGTTCTCCTGGACAACCTGTAAGTAAACTAACAAAAACTCTGCATACAAGAATCGTACGGTATAAAGCATAGAATTTTTATAGGGAGCGGTAGGTAAACCAGGACCACCAGGTTTTCCTGGCAGTCCTGGTATAAAAGGAGATCAAGGAGCTCAAGGGACAAAGGGAAGTCAAGGGTTGCAAGGCCCTCGAGGTACTTTATCGTGATGCTTGGTATTTTGTAAAGAAATAAAATATATTTTATTTACTTTCCCTTGTATTGCACAGGGGAAACTGGTCGCCCTGGACAACCTGGTGAATCTGGTCCACGAGGTCCGCAGGGAAAAGATGGGATACCTGGAGAAAAAGGAAGCACGGGAGCATCTGGTTTAGCAGGTGCAACCGGTTTTCCAGGAGCACGCGGACAACCGGGAATACCCGGAAATCCTGGTATTCCAGGAGCGAAAGGAATGCCCGTAAATATTTACTTTATTTTCCTTTTCGTGGTTTATAACATTCCACTATCTCACATCGAATCTTGTGAAATTTTGCGATCATAATTTACAGGGACTTCCTGGTGAAAGAGGATATAAAGGCGACAGCGGAGGAAAAGGTGATACAGGAACATCAGGACCACGTGGTACACCTGGTCCAATCGGGAATGAAGGAAAACGAGGGAAAAGAGGAATGCGGGGTCCTATTGGTACACCCGGTCCTACTGGAGAACGTGGAGCACCGGGTGCATCAGGTCTTCCGGGACCAGATGGGCCTTTGGGACCGAAAGGTACGTGTATTGTTACAATTCGTTATAATTGCCAATTAAAATTAATGTACGAGAACTCTTCTGCGATTTTAAGCCGTTTATTTTGAAAAAACATAACTCCATTAAAATTAAACATTATATACATTATATTATTTCTTTTTTGATTAAATTAACGTTATTCAATACAGTTACGTGAATTTCGTTTGTTTAGGTTTTCGATATCCATACAAATGTATTGATAACAAATTTTATCAGAATATTCTAGAAATCTCTATTTGTAATATTATAACAAATAATATTAATATGTGTAAAAATAAAAATGATAGGATATATTACTATTATTAGGTCAGTCTGGAGATCGTGGACCAATAGGTCCTATTGGACCAAAAGGCACTACAGGAGATCCCGGTCGCCCAGGATCACCTGGACTGCAGGTTTCTATTAACAAACACATAATGATTTTTAATGGAATATTTACATCTATGAAACTAAGTAATAATGAAGGAAACTGCACTTTAGAATTTTTTGTATAACAAGTCACAATGAATTTAATCCTATTTACCGTCTAGCTGGCTTACTCTAAAGAAGTAAATAATTGATTATATTTTTTATGATAGAATAATACACTTTCATCTGCGTAGTATTTTAAGATAACTTGTAAATGTGAGGAAAGCTATAGTTTATTTAAGAAAACTAAGAACGTATAAAATTTGAGTACTAGTCTTTGAAGCATTCAATACAGTTTAATTGAGTAAAATACTATTTTATCAGGAGAATCTAATTATAAACCCAGATTTTTTTTATAATAACATAATAATAGGATAATATATAAAATGAAGATGTTATGCATTATTTTACATTCTATTGACATTCTGTTTACAATTTTACGCAGTAGGAAATTTGTAATTTAATATTGTAGGGTGTACGAGGCTTAATGGGTCGTCCTGGTGCTCCTGGAAAACCCGGTAACCCAGGAGAACGAGGAATTCAAGGTGCTGATGGAAAACCTGGTGAACAAGGACCAACTGGAATACAAGGCTTACCTGGTCCATTAGGACTTATGGGAGAAAAGGGATATCCGGTACTAATAATTATCTTTGCATTATCTTTCCCTTTAAGGTTACGCTTCGAAAAATATGTGCCCACTAAAAATTTATTATATTTATTAAAAGGGAGAATCTGGCAAAGCTGGAGAACCAGGAAATCCTGGGCCACCTGGTCCTAGGGGCGATACAGGCAAAGAAGGTGTACCAGGACTGCAAGGTGCACCTGGTCCATCTGGAGCAGATGGTGAACGGGGATCTCCGGGACCTGCTGGTCCTAGAGGTTTCCAGGTATGTTGTAGATATTTGAAAATAATTCTTACTTTAAATGTACTTTACAAAACTATTTTATACTTATCTGTAATACACAAAGGACAAATATTATTTTATTATATAATTTGATATAATTAGGGTTTTCCAGGTGCAACTGGTAATGCAGGAAGTCCTGGAAAAGATGGCGAACCGGGTGTTCAAGGAACACCTGGCACGCCAGGTATACCTGGAAATAGGGGTGAACGAGGATTTCCAGGTGATAGAGGTACACCAGGAGTGCAAGGATTACTAGGACCAAGAGGAGAACCAGGAACACAAGGACCAGACGGTCCTCCTGTAAGCATTTCTTCACTTTCGTATATGTCAAATTTGGAAAATACTTTTTCCTTTCCAGCAAAAAAAAATTACCTGGACCAAAAGGAGATAGAGGAATTTCTGGACCATCTGGATTATTAGGATTACCAGGCCCACGAGGTGTTCAAGGAGAATCAGGCCCAAAGGGAGAAAGAGGATCTAGTGGCCCACCTGGTCCCGAAGGACCCCCAGGTTGTATGTTTGAAAAAGTAACATATTCGTTATCTTAAATAATTACAAAATATTAAAATATTTTCTTATAGGACGGATTGGAGAACGTGGACCACAGGGTCAAATTGGCTCGCCGGGACCACCAGGAGAACCAGCAGAACGAGGAGATCCTGGTTTACCTGGATCTCCGGGAGAAGTTGGAGCTTCTGGTAACCCGGGAGAAAGAGGACCGCAAGGATTACAAGGATCACAAGGTTTTCCAGGCCCGCAAGGACTCGTTGGTCTACCAGGATTAAAGGGTGACCGTGGTTATCCAGGTTTAAAAGGAGATCAAGGAAATCCTGGTCCATCTGGTAATTTATAATTAATAGCGAATACACACACACACACATATATATACACATAAGTACAATCATGAAAAATATGTCAAAATCATTATCTTAGTTGTTAGAAAGACAATTATAAAAACAATTAGAATATTACTTTAAATATAAATTCTAAATACAGGTAGCCCTGGTGAAGCTGGACCACAAGGCTTAATTGGATTGACTGGATCTAAAGGAGTAAGAGGTGAACCAGGTGCTAGAGGTGAACCTGGTATTATGGGACCGCCTGGATTACCGGGAACAATTGGAATAGCAGTATGTTTTACATATGACACAAATAGATTAACTTACATACATTAAACGTTTTTTTCGTTACTTATAAATATATGCTCTATGCTATAAAACAAAAAATTCAACAATAATATAATTTAAGTTCATAATACAAAACCTTTATAGGGTCCCCCAGGTGCAGTAGGGCCATTAGGACCATCTGGATTACCAGGTATTAAAGGTAGTGTTGGAGAAACAGGACGACCTGGAAATCCTGGACCAATCGGAAATCCAGGTGTACCCGGTACAGATGGAAGCAAAGGTGAAAGTGGTTCTCAAGGACCATCAGGTATGCCTGGACCACAGGGTCCTCAAGGCTCTCCTGGAGAAAGGGGTTTACCTGGTTTGCCAGGTTCATCTGGACCAATAGGTGCTAGAGGAATAAGAGGAGCACCCGTAAGTCCCATTAACACTTTTGTGTTTCAAAACTTCCGTATACTGTGAAATTTTATATTGGTAGAAAATAATTTTATATTACCACGTAATTTTAAATTATAATTCACAAACACTTTTATCGATAAAATATGGCAGGGTGAATCTGGAGTACCTGGAAAACCAGGACCAGAAGGTCCATCTGGAATACCTGGACAACTAGGACCAATTGGACCTCCTGGGCCTCCAGGAGAAATTGGAGCAGAAGGACCTAGTGGTAAACCTGGACCGCCTGGAATAGGTGGTCGCCCTGGAGATAAAGGGCCACCTGGAGCAGTTGGACAAACAGGATTATCTGGTCCTCCAGGTTTACCCGTAAGATATAGTTATATGTTATTTTACATATTTTTCAATTAAAACGTACATTGAAAATTATTGTATAAAAATATATACTCTGGTAATTAGGGACCACTTGGACAAGCAGGACCTCCAGGACCAGCTGGAGAAAGAGGTTTAAAGGGAGAAACAGGACCACAAGGTGTAGATGGACAGCAAGTTAGTTTCCTCATTTTTACTAATACTGCATATGTGACAGTGATTTTATTAATTTATTTTTTTGTTGTTAATATGATTTTAAAATACATAAAATGAAAAATAAAATAACAGTATGTTTACAATTAGGGACCTAGAGGAAAACCAGGACCTATGGGACTAGAAGGCCCAAAAGGTGAACGTGGCGAAGAAGGACAGAAAGGTTTGAAAGGTCATAGAGGATTTACTGGTTTGCAAGGTCTACCAGGACCTGCTGGTCTATCAGGAGAGAAAGGAATTCCTGGACTTCCTGGACTACCTGGTAAAGATGGAGAACCTGGACCTAGAGGTATTCCTGGACGAGATGGCACTCCTGGACCAATTGGATTAACTGGTAATCCAGGACCAAAAGGTCCTTCAGGTGATGAAGGTCGTCATGGTTCACCGGGACCACCTGGTCCTCCAGGTCCACCAGGTCCACCTGGTGAACTTGGATTAGGATATGATGCTGCTTCTTTAGCTGCTCTTTTGGGTAATTATTGTACTTTTTCTTTGTAATAATTGTGATTTGTGTTTTACATAATAATAAATATGCAACTAATATCATAACTTCTGTAAGTATAACAATAGTGTAGCATTAAATATTGTCATGAAGTACTATTGTTAAGCTATGTTAAATATTACATAATTAACTTTTATTATGTGATTAGGACAAGGACAAACTAAAGGACCAGATCCATTAGCTGGTGATGAACCAGCTAGAATGTTTAGTCAAGAAATGACAGAAGAAGAAAGACAAGAACTTATTATGAAAGCATATAAACAATTAAAATCATCATTTCAGAAATTTATCAAACCAAATGGTGAAAAGAATTCACCAGCCAAAACTTGTAGAGATCTTTACAGTGCTTACCCAAACAAACCTTCTGGTTAGTTTACAAGTTCAAAAATGACATTTAACATTATAATTAAAATTTGTTTTAGTATTTTGCTTAACAATATTAGTTTGTATGAAAACATTAAAAAATATTTTTCTATTTTAGGAGAATATTGGGTTGATCCCAATGAAGGTGATGTAAGAGATGCAATTTTAGTACATTGTGATACTGAAAAACGTGCAACATGTTTATTACCAAACCCAGTACGTTCTCCAGAAATTAAACATATCACTGACCAACCAGAAACTTGGTTAAGCGAAATAGAGGATGGAATAAAGGTAACACTTTTTATTGTACTTACATGTTAACATAAATATTCAATATGGCAAATTATTTTAATATTATATAAATTGTTCACATATATGATATAGTTAAAATTTTTTTCATTCTATGCAGATTACATATAAAGCAGATAGTAATCAAATTGGATTCCTACAACTTCTATCAAAGCATGCCCATCAAAATATAACATATCACTGTAAAAATAGTGTAGCATATTTTGATTCTGAAAGAAAGACATATAGAAAAGGTATGAAACTGTTAACATGGAATGATGTTGAACTAACACCACGTGGAAATCAGCGACTAAGATATGAAATGATAACAGATGAATGCAGAGTAAGTTTTAAATTATGAGATTTTAGTTATTAAATCCTTTCAACATTAAATTATTATAGCACTTCATTACAGTACTTCATTACAACACTTGATTTCTTTTACAGTTACACAATGGAGAATGGGGTAAAACAGTAGTTTCATATCAAACTGATAAACCTGTAAGGTTACCTATAATTGATGTGGCTTTACGAGATATTGGAAAATCCGATCAAAACTTTTATATTGAAATTGGTGCTGTTTGTTATGAATAATAAACTGGCATTCTATAAATATATTTTTCAATATTGTCATATAATTAAAATATACTTTTTACTTGAACATTTACGTAGAAACACAAATATTTGAATTTGAAATTTGAATTCTAGTAATTTGAGTGCTTTGATCAATTGTATTCATAAAAGAATTACTGTAATATGTATTGGCACAAATGAAACTTTATATAATGAATATGTCATTAGCAAGTTTTATTTGTTTATAATTGCAAAATTGTTTAACTAAGGAATTTAATAAATATGATTGTCTTCCAATATTTTCTTAATCAGAATACATATTATACATATATATTCTAATTTGAATTCGTATATGGAAAATACTTAATAAATATTAAGATAGTTACATAAGTAATATCTTATTTTTTATATTATCAAGGTATCTTTTCCATATAATGCAAGCATGGTTACTTAATACATAAAAAAATTGTGCATTAGTTTTGATTTTAAAATTAAAAATTATTATATTCACTTGAAATAAAATAAACTACTTTACAGGTAACCTGCAAAGTAAAAACTAAATTCTTT